CAGCCCCAACCCGGGGCTCTGCACGGGCGGCGGGCTACGACCTGTACAGTGCCTATGATTACACAGTGCCACCTATGGAGAAAGCCCTTGTGAAGACTGACATTCAGATAGCTCTTCCTTCTGGGTGTTATGGAAGAGTAGCTCCATGTTCTGGCTTGGCTGCAAAACACTTCGTAGATGTAGGAGCTGGTGTCATAGATGAAGATTATAGAGGAAATGTTGGTGTTGTACTATTTAATTTTGGCAAAGAAAAGTTTGAAGTTAAAAAAGGTGACCGAATTGCACAGCTCATTTGTGAACGAATTTTTTACCCAGAAATAGAAGAAGTTCAAGGTTTGGATGACACTACACAGGGTTCAGAAGGTTTTGGTTCTACTGGAAAAAAATAAAATTAAAATTTATGCCATGAACGGAAGATGAGAGAATTTTTTTTTCTTTCTTAAAGGGTTTTGCTAGTGTTTTGTATTTCTAGAAACTTAATAGCTTTAACTTTGAAAAACATTTTTGTTTTCTTATGAGTAAGGACAAGGGTACCTCTGGGATCACATAAAAACTTTCCCGTGTTTTTCTACTGTGGACAGTCATATGTAAATCTGCTTTGTGGTGAACTAACGCGGAGTGACATTTTGTTTTGTTTTGTTTGTTTTAATCAAAAAGTTGTATTTAACTCAGTAAATGGTACCCCTTTAGCAATGTCTTTTATTTAAAAAAAATTTAAACTGTGCTTCTTATTCAATAAACTTACGTTCTTTTGCAAACAAGAATTATTGTACAAGCCAAACAACAAAAAAATAAGTAAAAAGAAGTTAAAGTTAAAAAAAAGATGTATTCATTGAATACCCATACATCCTTCCATCTATAGATAGATCCCATCAGTATCTTTTTCCAAATTTGAGTCATCTCACTCTCTAAATAAATGTGTTATTTTTGCCAAATTATTTGCAAACAGGGTAACACTTTATCCCTTCATACTTAACTGTATTTGTTCCAGGAACAAGGTCATTTTCCTTTAATAGTCATAATATCATTATCACCTTGCTATGGTTTGAACATATTCCTTCCCAAATTTATATTGGGTTGACGGAAAAGTCACGATGCATTTTTGCATAGAAAAACAGAAAAAATACATCAT